TGAGCATCCGTCTCAATGTAGCGATCTGTTGTGTGATCTCCTGGATGGGTTCTTTCATGGCCCAGGTGATCTTGTATCTGTGCTGTAATAAGTTCAGCTTCGATCTCACTTCTATGTAGTACATCCTCTTCTCGCTCTCGTCGGCCTTCGCGGATCGGGGTTTGTAAGCTGGGTGTGACTGAGCTTCCGCTGGCGTGGCCATCCTCACGAAACGCGGGCCCTTGATGTCGTTCTCTTCCCCTTCCCACGGCCGACCATCTGTTGCATAAGACTTCTGGCTCTTGGAACGCTGGCGACGCTTGCTGGACTGTGCCTTGTCTGACATGCCTTGCGACGCCTTCCAGTGAGTCCCGCACTTGCTGCAATTCATTTGCTTGAGCCAGTTTGGTTGACCGCACTTGCACTTCCATGTTGCTGCCCATTGCGCCATCTATTGGGTGTCCCTCAATTGGACTACCCGAGCTGGGGAAACCCTGTCTGGAAGTGGACGAAATGACTGCGGAGCACTCCCTTGGACAAATGAATGTCCCTTCGAGGGGAGTGGATCGTGCGGGAAATGAAAGAGGTTCGGGGGCCTTGGTTCTCCTGAGCCACCTCGAGAATGGTTTACTTGACCCAAAATGGCTACGGTCCTCCTCCTCCTCCTCCTCCTCCTCTTCCACCTCCTCCTTCCTCCTCCCTCCTCCTCCTCCTCCTCTTCCTCCTCCTCCTCCTCCTCCTCCTCCTCCTCCTCTTCCTCCTCCTCCTCCTCCTCCTCCTCCTCCTCCTCCTCCGGCCGCCCGAGGCGTCCTCGGAGGCCGGCCCGGGCAGACCGCGTGCGGCCACCCCGAGCCCCCCACGGAGCCACCACGCGCGGCGCGGCCACCGCGCCCTCCTGCGGGCCCCCGGGGCCCGGAGGACCCCCCGCCGATCCGAGGCCCCACCGAGCCGCGGCTCCAGAGCGCCCGACCCCCCTCCCCAGAGGCCTTCGCGGCCTGAGGCCAAAGGGCCTCTCGGGCCGGACGAAGGGGGGGATTGGGAAGGGGGGGGTGCGGAATTTGCTGTATGCAGCTGGTGTCGGCCTCACCGAGGCGCCCATTCCTTGATACATAGCCGCCTACGGCGCCGGGAGGCGCCGGGAAAATCAGCTACGTGAGCTGATTCTCACCCCCCCCTTTGCTATCCCCCCCTTTCGCCCGACCCGACAGAGCGCCCGACCCACCTCCCCGGAGGCCTTCGCGGCCCGGGGCCAATGGGCTCGTGGGGATCGAGCCGGATCAGTGCAGGCAGATGTGGATAAGGCGAGGTCGATCCAGGGACATCTGAGGGAAGTGCAGATCAATCACGGAGCAACCAGAGAGATCCAGAGATCCCCAGGGGCGTTAGGGGCAACTCGTGGCCACTCCCGCGCGAGGCCAGGGGGGCGGCAGAAGTCGTGAAGAGGCCCTTAGAGTTAAGTCGGGTATGTCCCTCTACAGGAGGAACATTTTCAAAATAATCAGGGGCCGATTCTTCCACTCTGTTTGAGCATTGTTGATCATGTTTGTCTATTTCTCATTATTCGTTTTAAATCCGCCTGCAGGAGGACACGCCCGACCTAACTTTCGAGCGACGCTGCTCGCTCGCCCCCCGCGTCTTCACTAAGAGTGGGGCCCCTGCCGGGCCAGGTTTGGCGTGCCCTCGGGGACCGAGAGCGGAGGCGGAGAGGGGGGAGGAGGGGGAGGGGTATTTGACAAGCTAGGTGCGCTCGCGTCACATCTGACATCCTACCCCTCCCTCCCATCCCTTTACCACGGCGTAGATCCCCTCTCTACTCGCACAGTCGGATGTCGAGCAGGGCAATGATCCCGAAAGGGTATGCGATGCATTGTAGAGGACGGCATGGCATGGCGTAGAAGAGCACCGCAAAGCGTAGTGGGTCACAGCATGGCGTGGCGTGGCGTAGTGAAGAATTGCATCACAAAGCTTTGCAACGCAAAGCATGGCATCGCACAGCGGCCCCAAACATAACATGTCATAGCATGGCGTTGAAGATCAAAGCGTAGCATGGCCTAGCACGACGTGGCACTTAAGCACTGCATGTCGCAGCTTCAGCTGAAGGCATGGCATCGCGCAGCGGAACGCAACCTAGCATTGCATTGCATGCCGTGGCATGGCACGGGAAATGACGCCAGCGCTGCAGCGGGAGCACGATTCGGAACGAGCGGAAGCCCGGAAATGAGGCCAGCGCTGCAGCAGGAGCACGATTCGGAACGAGCGGAAGCACGGAAATGAGGCCAGCGTTGCAGCGGGAGCACGATTCGGAACGAGCGGGGCTCGAACATGCGGTTGGCGCCTCAGCGAGAGCAGCATTTTGAAACAAAATGCAGGCGAAAACCCAACTCCGGGGGGAATCCTGTGTAAAAAAAGAGTACGCGGGGGGGGGGGGCGAACACTCCCAACCCGTCATCAGGGGAAAGAGGAGAGTAGTATTCATATTGAGTAATTGTGAAGGGCAGGGGGAGGGGGAGGAGGGGAGAAGGGGGAGGATGGAGGAGATGAGGGGGAGGCGTCGGGGGAGGAGGGGTGGGGAGGAGGAGAGAAGGGGACGTCTTTCTCCCTCCTCTCCTCCCCCCTCTTCCTCCTTCCCCGACGCCTCCCCCTCCTCTCCCCCTCCTTCCCCTCCTCCCCCTTCCCTCTTCCTGCCCTTCCTCGCCCTCCCCCTCCTCCCCCGATGCAGAGACTATATTACCAGCATGCAGCATCGCCGTTCACCCACATCGCTGGGAGCGTTGCCTTGGAAACTTCCGACACCAAAACGTCAGAGCGTCGTTGGACGTCACGTAATAGGGCGGGGGCAACGAGGGCTGCAGAAATAGGGCCCGTCAAGGGGCCCGTTAGGGCCCGAAAAGTGCGACGACGAGGAAGAGGAGGAACGGGACCAGGAAGACGATGAGGGCAAGGACGAGGAGAAGGAGGAGGAGGAGTAGGAGGAGGCGGAATAGGAGGATGAGGACGAGGACTGTGACAGCAATGTAGGGGTCTTCTTACGGCCCTCTCAGGGTCCTCTTAGGGCTCCCTCGGGGCTCCCTTGGGGCTTTTTTGGATATGTCGTGGCTGTTTTGGGAAGCACTGGGGTCTTCTTGGGCTCCTTTTGGGAGGGGGGGTCGTGCGGCCCTCTTGGAGGCCTCGTGGGGGGTGTCCTTTCAGCCACGGAGGGCCTCTTGGAGTCATCTATGAGACTATATCGACTAGGGGGGGGGGCCCCTCCTCCAGGTCCCCCCTCGAGAGCCCTCGAAACCGTCTCCTGGAGCTTTCTTGGGGCGCTCTTGGGGCCGTCTGGGGGGGCTCGTGGTCTCCTCGTGGGGCTCCCTTCGGGCCATCTTGGGGCCATCTCCGGGCATCGACGAACGCGTCGGACGCGAGCATGCGAGATGGCAGGCATCGTTGATCGTTGATTTCACAAGGCATCTGCAGGATATTTGCCTCTTGGGGGGGCGTCCCTTCGGCCCCCTCCTCTCCCTCCTCCCCCTCCTCCCCCTCCTTCGTCATCCTTGGCGATCGTGGAGGCCATCTTGGAGCATCCGAGGCCCTCTTCGAGCTACCTTGTGCGAACAAACAAAGAAATCTGACACGTCGGGCCCCTCGCCGAAAGACCTGGGAGGGGGAGGCGGAGGGTACCCCCCCCAAGGGAAGAGGGTCTTTGGAAGAGGAAGGAATCGGAGGCCTAGAGGTTGATATCAACACCAAGATCGGCGGTGTGCCTCCACCGAGGGAAGCCGATCCCACTCTCGGTGATGGTGTTAATCTTTCGGCTTCCTAGGTGGCCGAAATATTACATCCAATACCAAAATCTAGGATCATCCTCCCCTGGTGAAAGCAGCCCCCTGTTTGGGTGTCCGTGCCCATTTTCAAGCCTCCAAAGGAAGATCTGGAAGAGGGTCTTTGGAAGAGGGTCTTGGTACGCCCAGAGAGTTGGTAGGATTTTATCATATTTTGGCAATGCCCTCCGAGGACGCTCGTGACTGGTTCGGGCGCGTCCTGCAAAGCCAGTGTGTCTCGGGCAGTTGGGACCAAACAGCGGGGGGTGCGACAAACACGCGAACCGAGCTTCTGAGGCACCTGGGGCAACCTGGGAAAGACACGGGCACTGGGCGAACGCGGGTGCGAAAATACAGATTACCTGGGTTCCCCAGGCATATGTGTGTATATATAATATATACGTTGGCGAGGTGGCGAGTCCACCCCCCTCCCCCGCTCTTCCTCCCCTAAAGCATTTGTATGTAGAATCAACAATCGACAAACTGTTCACGTTGGTGTGGGTCCTGATAGGCGCTTGATTCACAGGATCAGTCCCGACCTCAGCGTTCGCGACCGCGGCAAGCATCTTCCTCACCTGCCCAACGGCCGCTTTGTCTTCGCTTTTGGAAGAGCGCGTTCTGCGGTCTTTGCAAGGGAGTGAGAGGGAGTTAGGATCCCCCCCCCTCCCTTCCTTCCTCCCTCCCACCACCCCCCTCCCCCGGTGCAGGGGGGGGAGGGCAGCGGTGTCGTGCCCTGCTTCCTTCTCCGGCAGAGGACGACGACGAAAGACGACGACGACGATGACCACGATGTTTACGACGAGTGCGACGACGACGACGACGATGAGCACGACGACGACGACGATGAGCACGATGTTTACGACGAGTGCGACGACGACGGGTGGGGGCAGGGTGGGTGGGTTGTCGCAAACCCTCCCCTTCCCACCGGTGCGGTGGGTGGGTTGGGAGTTTCGCGGCAGCACCCCCCTCCCCCCTCCCCCTGGCGCGCGGGAGGAAGCGCATCGATGGGAGGGGGGGTTGAAGGGTGGGCGGGCGGGAGTCCCAGATACGACTCTCCCGCCCTTCTTCTTGCCACAACCTGGTCTTCTCCGATTGCATTTCGCCATCGGTCTCGACATTCCCAGCTCCAGGTCAGTCGCAGTCGCCAAGCATTTTTCCCCCTAGGCTCGCCCAGGGGTGATCCCCCCCCGCCTCGAAACACAATCTTTGGGTCGCCCCGAGGAACATGTACTACTCGTCTTCGAGCAGATCGAACGCGAAAGGCTCGGGCACTGTTAGCGGGAGCGAGGCTCTGAAGCAGAATGGTCCCGCCGAGTGTCGCGATTGTTGTCCTTTTTATATGTATTCAGGCATGGATGCGGGAAAACGTGGGGCGCGAGATCATGACCTGATGGCCAACGCCTCTCTGACGAGGAGAGTATCCTTCGCCATGCCGAGCAGCGATCACAGCGACCGGCGGTCGTGGCTCCTGGGAGCCAGGCCGGGAAGACGTGTGCAGCAGAGAGAGACCCTTGCTTCTCGCGGAGCCTGCATGACTCGAAGATCGAGCGTGGGGGGGGGTAAAGTGGACTATACCTGCTAAGGTGGTCAAGGCCTTTGACATGTATCGCCGTGCGGCGGGTCGGTGAATGCTTCGCTGCCAGGGTGAGAGCGGTAAGCCGACGCACACAGTGCTGCACGCACAGGACATGTGATGCGTTGATGTATGGCATCGTTTCTCTGTGCTCAGTTCTTTTCACCTTGCCCTTCCCATGCCATCCTCCTCTCCATGCTTCTCCCCCGGTGTGGTCCATCTCCTTTCTCCTCTTGTCCCTTTGGATCCTTCTGCCCTTCAGCCGTTTCTCTCCACTCTCTCCTCTCCCTCTCTCTCTCTCTCCTTCTCCCCCTCCCCCCGTTTCCCTTCTATTCCTCTCGCCCCTTCGCCGATTTTGCTCTTCTCCCCTCCGCCTCTCCCCTCTTCTTTCTCCCCTTCTCCCCTTCTCCCTTCTTTTTCCTCGCGCCCCCATCACCGATTTCGCCCGTCTCCTCCGCTTCTCTCGTCGCTCTCCTCTTGCCCTGAATCATTTTCCGAGATGGTTTACGCTGCATCAGGGCTGGACCTAAACGCTGTTTTGCTGAAGGTCGGCTGTGTTTTGTTTCTCGTTTTTGGGAGGGAGGCGCAGGAGAACAGGTAGAGCAACACGAAGAACAAATAGGGGGCCACATGCGAACCCTACCCCTAACCCCCACGATTTCTGAGGGGGAGGGTGGGGTTCACTTCGCTCGGGAGCTCCCGAAAGAAGTGAACCCCACCCTCCCCCTCAGAAACCGTGGGGGGTAGGGGTAGGGTTCGCATGTGGCCCCCTAGCAAAACGAACGAGTCACGAAAAACAGCGTTCAGATCCAGCCCTGCGTTACATCTTCGGGGGACCTCGCCTGTCCCCAACAGTTGTGTCTTTTATATGGTGCCCGCCACGCAGGCACGCAGGCTCGGTGCGCGAGCTCGACGTGCACCCTGCGTGGCTTCGACGCGGCTTCGACACGGATCCGACGCGGCTTCGACGAGTCCAGCATGGATTCGACGCGGATCCGACGCGGCTTCGACGAGTCCAGCATGGATTTGACGCGGATCCGCTGCGGCTTCGACGAGTCCAGCATGGATTTGACGCGGATCCGACGCGGATTCGACGAATCCAGCATGGATTCGACATGGATCCGACGCGGCTTCGACGAGCCCAGCACGGATTCGACACGGATCCAGCGCGGATAGGGCCGCGACGGGACAGACAGGGTCCCCCCTCCAAAGATGCAACATGACCGAACGATGTGTCGAGATGTTGGGTGCGAGGCGCTGAACTGCTCACCGTCGGCTCTGGACTGCTCACCGACGCCGTCGCCGAGAAGTTCACGGAGCTGTTCGCCAAGCTTGACTCGGACCGTCGCGGGGTGCCGCGAGGCCCTTCCTCCCCTGCCGGAGCATATCCTGCAGCAGCGGCCGGACGCTGCTCCTGCGACCGCCCCCTCTGGGTGGGCGCCGAGCGTCAGAGGAGGAAAAGGTAGCCATACCTCCACCCTTCGGCCGTTCTCTCCTTTCTGGGCCTCCTGGGAGGCCCTCGTCACCGCCGCTGGATTCGCCTCGAAGTCCTGGTCAGAACGCACCCCGGGAGAGGTCTTGGGAGCAGCGGTATCGCTACCTGCTGCTTTCCCCAGAGAGTGGAGGCCTCCCAGGGTTCCGAGCAGATGGGGTCGGAGAGTCGCGCCACATCGCCGACACGCTGGCAGCACATCCGTGACGTGGGGTGCAGAGGATCCAGAGCTCCGGATCGAGCCGCATCGCCGATGCGTCGGCGAGGCGGTGCGGTCCTCCGGCCTTCCCTGCTCGGGCCCCGCAAAAAGGCTGCCTGGAGAGAAAGGAGGCGGGAGGACGGCTGAGGCTGCTTGGACCACTGCTGCACATGTCAGGGCCCATCTCTCCGACCGAGGCGGGAAGTTATGCATAGCCACCGCCTGCGGGATCGATCTTCGCGGACCTCCACAGGCGGTGGATATGGACATATTCGAGCCCCCCAGGGGGCAAAACGCGTCCATGTCCACCGCCCGCGTGGGCACCAGGACGTGGGCTCCCAGGTGGTGGATCTGGATTCATCCCCGCCTCGCGATCTCGATCTGATCGACCGGATTCGATGTCGACTCCGGCGAGCCCGACACGATCCAGCTCCGATGCTCCGAGGATCCGACGGGGCCCGATGCCTGCCGTGCCGCCGTGGGGCAGCCTGGCCCGGCCGGCCCGGCCTCGGCGTGGATGCGGCCGCTGCGGCGCACTTTCCGCCTTGACCCTGTTTTCCGATGCGGCGCTGGCCGATCTAGCCCGATGGGCCTGTTTTCCACCACCACCACCATAAGTTGGAGGGGGAGGGGGTCCTCCTCCTCTTCCTCCTCTTCGTCCTCCTCCTCCTCGTTGTCCTCCACCTCCTTCCCCCTGCCAACTCAGGGTAGTGGTGGTGGAGAACAGGCCCATCATAGCCCCTGCAGGAAGATCGAAGAAGAAGAAACGCCATAAGCAAAAAGTTTTGGCGCTCCGTGCGGACTTCTGGGATCTGCGCTGGCGCCCCCCGGCGGCGCCTCGGGCGCCGCCCCCAGCGCGCTCCGCGCGCCAGGGAGGGGGGTCCAGCGCAGATCCAAGAATTCCGCGCGGACCGGCGAACATTTACATTTATGCCGTTTTCTTTTTTTCATGAAGAGGAAGCCGCTGCGTCGAAAACGCTGGATGCCTAATCTGCTAGGTAACCACTCTGCGCCCACAGGCCAGGGTGGACACCAGAAGCAGCTGTCCAAGCTGGTGGGAGAGGTGTCGGCTGAGTGCTCCCGTAATGTGGGAGCCGTGAGCTGGTAGCTGTGTTTCACCCCTCAGCGACGCATTGAGCACAGCCTGGGCAAGAATCTGTTTCTGCTCGGTTTTTGTGCACTTTCTCGCCAGGGTCCTCTGGGGCCCCCGTGGACGCCTCCGAGGACCTCCAGGGTCCTCTGGAGGTGAAGGCGGGTCGTGGGGGTTCATTCGAGCGGGATGTCAGGATGGCTCACACGTAGCACAGGACAGCGCGATGTTTGGCATCGCTCGGACGTTTTTGGTTGTTTTGTTTTTTTAATGTTGTTTCTCAGCGAGGACCATCCTGGATCATCGAGCAAAAAAGCACGCACGAAGCCGAAACATGCACGGGGAATGGACTTCCGAGCGATGGCAAGGATATGGACAAGTCCACATTCAGCGCGTCCACGCCGCACCGCACTGAGAGCACCAGCGGCGGCCACAGCCGACCACGGCCAGGCAGGGCTCTCTCTCGCCCGCCCCTTGCCGGCTTCCATGCGGCGCCCTCCCGCGGACACCTGCGCTCGTTGCTCCTCGCCGCTCCGATCGTGCGCTTGGCATCGCTTGGGGCGTGTGCGTTTTCCGTCGGCGAGGTCCATGGAGGAGCATCTGGGACCATCCTGCGAAACACAAACAACTTGTTGTTTGCGTCGGCGGCGAGGCAGGGGAAGGCTGCGCTAGCGGAAAGGCCTAAATGGGGATGCCGTGATGGCGAATTGTGCCACCATGCAGGAGGAGGAGGAGGAGGAGGAGGAGGAGGAGGAAGAGGAGGAGGAGGAGGAGGAGGAGGAGGAGGAGCAGGAAGAGGAGCAGGAGGAGGAGGAGGAGGAGGAGGAGGAGGAGGAGGAGGAGGAGGAGGGCGCGGCCGAAAGAGGGGGCGGGAGAGGCGAGCCGCTCAGGGGGGCGGGTCACGCCCCGGAAGCCCTGCTGCGAGAAAACGCGCACGAGGCCGCAGCGTGCGCGGGGAGTGGACGTCCGAGCGGAGGCAGATGCGGGGGAATAGGATCCCTACAGTCAGCGGGCATACAGTCAAAGCGTATGTTAAGGACGGGCGATGAGGACGCAAGACCCTTGGAGGCCGAAGTTGGGTTTTTTAGGGCGGCGGGCGACCAGTGATACTGGCAAGGACGAGCCTCAGAGGCAAGGATACAAGGGTACCCTAGATGAAGGCGCGCGTCCTTACTAGGCGCGTTGACTGTAGTAAGGATGGGCAATCTTCACAAGGGTACCCTTGCATCCTTGCCTCCTCGGTCCATCCTTCGCCACGTTCGTTGGCCGCGCCCCGCTCGAGAAGGTTCGACATGGTCGTCCAAGGCCCTTGCATCCTTATCGCGCATCCTTACTAGTCGATAGCAGATCATGGGAGCCTGGTAGATCCTTTTAATTCCGTCTTTAGCGTCGATCAGCGTCGATTCGCGTCTGGGAGTCGATGAGATAGCGCCGACTTAGCGTCGGTTAGCGTCGCTGAGTGTTTCGCCAGCGTCGATCTAGCCTCCGCTGGCGTCGATCCGCCAGAGCCGGCAAGATGGTACGGGAGGCTCCCACGAGTTGCCACCGAGCTTACTCTACACCCTGGGCGATGCTTAAAAAAACGTAAGGTTTCGGCCAGAGTCTTGATTATTCTTATTGTTTCAATGGAAGACCTAACTTTTTAGCAGAAGTTGGGTTTTTTATTCAAATTCTGAGACTATGAATTTCTCAACCCATGATTTCTTAAGCATTTCGCAGGGTGTACGTGCTGACTGCAGGTTTCTCGGGCCGGGCGAAAGGGGGGGATTGGGAAGGGGGGGGTACGAAATTTGCTGCATGCAGCTGGTTTTGGCCTCACCGAGGGGCCCATTCCTCGATACGTAGCCGCCTTCGGCGCCGGGAGGCGCCGGGAAAATCAGCTACGTGAGCTGATTCCCAAACCCCCCCTTTGCTATCCCCCCTCTTTGCCCGACCCGACAGAGATCCCGACCCACCTCCCCGGAGGCCTTCGCGGCCCGGGGCCAATGGCCTCGTGGGGATCGAGCCGGATCAGTGCAGGCAGATGTGGATAAGGCGAGGTCGATCCAGGGACATCTGAGGGAAGTGCAGATCAATCACGGAGCAACCAGAGAGATCCAGAGATCCCCAGGGGCATTTGGGGCAACTCGTGGCCACTCCCGCGCGAGGCCAGGGGGGCGGCAGAAGTCGTGAAGAGGCCCGTAGAGTTAAGTCGGGTATGTCCCTCTACAGGAGGAACATTTTCAAAATAATCAGGGGCCGATTCTTCCACTCTGTTTGACCATTGTTGACCATTTTTGTCTATTTCTCATTATTCGTTTTAAATCCGCCTGCAGGAGGACACGCCCGACCTAACTTTCGAGCGACGCTGCTCGCTCGCCCCCCGCGTCTTCACTCTTGGCGGGCCCCTGCCGGGCCAGGTTTGGCGGGCCCTCGGGGACCGAGAGCGGAGGCGGAGAGGGGGGAGGAGGGGGAGGGGTATTTGACAAGCTAGGGTTCCTCCTTCGTGGCCGACCGGGGCCCCCGATGCGCCTCAGCCCACTGCTCGGGGGCGCGGGGCGCTCTGCCGCAAGGGGGGGCCCGTCGCCGGCCGGCCGGCGAGCTGCCGCCGAGCCCCTGCCGATGCCATCCCTGGGGCACTGGTCCTCCCCTCCCTCCCCTCCCCTCCCCTCCCTCCCCCCCTCCTCCTCTCCCTCCCCCTCCCCCCCCCTCCCTCCCTCCCTCCCTCCTCCCTCCCTCCCTCCCCTCCTCCCCTCCCCCCTCCCCTCCTCCCTCCCTCCCTCCCCTCCCATCCCCTCCCCTCCTCCTCCCTCCCCCCCCCTCCTCTCCCTAGCTTCCCCCCCCCCCTTTCCCCTCCCTCCCTCCGTCCCTCCCTCCCCTCCCCTCCTCCTCCCTCCCCCCTCACTCCCCCCTCCCCTCCCTCCCGCTCCCCCTCCCTCCCCCCCTCCCTCCCTCCCCCTGCTCGGTATCGTTTCACCAATCCCCATCCCCATGCCGATCCCCCTCGAGACCCCCACCAACTCACCACCCGAGTTGGGGGACGCGCCCCTCGAATCCCGAAGGATGCTGCCTGCATCCCCATCTAAGGGGGGGCAGATCGGCCAGCGGGGCCCGGGCCGCGCTGCTGGAACGGGGGATCGGCCCAGACGCCTCCAGACGGCCCAGGAGCCAGCCCCCCCCCCCGGACGCCCCAAGAAGTCCTCGAGCGGCGTCCCAAGACGGCCTGAAAGAGCAGACGCCGTCCCATTGGAATAAAAACGTGGATTTGTTGCACACTCGCCTCGTGTGCATTCACAGCGTGCGAGGCAGCCCAAGGAGCCTCCTGGATCGCTCCAAGACGGCCCAAGAGGCCCCCAAGAGTGCTCACAGACGACCTCCTCCCTCGTCCCTCCCTCCTTGATCCTCCCCCCTCCCTCCCTCCCTCCCTCCCCTCCCTCCCGCCCTGATCCTCCCCGAGGGGAGGCAGGAGGGGAAGGGCAGGGGGGCCGGGGATCCCCCCCCCCACCCGAGCCATTCCCCACGCTGCCCCGCGGCTCGCCTCATGCCCCCGTGCGTTCAGGGGACAGGGGGCCCAGGCCAG